ATCAAAACACACACCAAGAAATTGTTGAGCATAAAAATCATTACGGACAAAATGTTTAGTTAATTAAAGAAAAGACAAGCTCACTCAAAAATAAAAATCATCACACACACCACATGCAAATAAAGGATGATTTGCATGAATTGAGAATTGATAGTTGAGTGAGTTTTTCAGCCAAAAAAGCATTTGTTTTATCATGAATGGTATGTGTAATCCGGTTATAAAAAGCCCGCATTGTCTTCTTTTGCAATTAGGTTAAGATATGTCTTTCATAACTAATGCCGCATATAAAATTGTGTTATCTAAATTAGGAAGAATTGCGCACCTAAAAAGCATTTCACCCAAAAATCGCAAATCAACTGAAGCTAAAGAGATAAATAATCAGATTGAAAAACTCGAAGAAGAAGCAGATAGGGCGTTAGATAGTCTGAAAACTCTGGAGCAGTTATCTGTAACTTGTATGAGCGATTTACACAAAATCTTAGAAGTAAAAACTAATGACCAGTGGAAAGGCAACAAAATTTCCGTTGATCCGTACTCCGTAGATCCTTCATCAACAGAGTACAGTGAGATCACAAAAATTGCCGAAGAGCATGACTTGAAAATCATGCCGTACGACATCGACTACGAAGTTCAGCAAAACAAGTAAGAATTTTTTTTATTTTTGTTTTGTTTTAATTATAATGTTTTTAAAGTTTCTAGTATTTTATAATTTTGGCTTATTCAAAATTTCTTTTCTTTTCTTTTTATTTATTGAAAGGAACGCTTCCAAGGGAGATGAGGGCTCCAGCACTTACAATAGCACATCCTGGCCTTGACTATCAATGCTTTTTAAATACGTGTTTTTATTATAGGTATGCTTTTTAAATAAGGCGGCATGTGTGTTGTGGTACTCTTTCCTACCCCGTAGTTGTCTTTGGGAAGGTTTTAATGAGGCCACCCCTTATACATGTTGTGTACTCAAAAACTGAAAAAAAGAAGAAGTTTACAGTCTTAAAAATTCAGAAAGTAATATTGAAATCCAATATCAATTTCTTTTCTTTTAAAAGGAGATGAAATCACAAAGACTAAGTCCACCAAAACTTGATAAGAAGTTAAATAACCTAGTTCACACTCAGCCATCTGGATATTTGGAACTAGGTTATTTAACTTCTTATCAAGTTTTGGTGGACTTAGTCTTTGTGATTTCATCTCCTTTTAAAAGAAAAGAAATT